TTCTGGTAACTTTATGCCTAGAAGATGCGAGTGAAGACCTCAGGCACCTGACGGTATCTCCCGATATAAAAGGCATAACAATACCGTAAGTCATTAGACAGAGTAACAGTACATGTAACTTTATGCCTAGAAGACGCGAGTGCAGACCCCAGGCACCTGACAGTGTCGGTGCAGCACATCCAGAGCAGCAATGAAGAACTCGTGCGCGTCCTGCTGCTCATAGCCCGCCAAGTGCCGCGCGTGCGTCCAGATGAGGTGCAGGAGCTTCTGCAGGATCAGCGGCGCCTGTGCACCGCTGTAAAACTGCACACAAAAAACAGCGGCTCAAAAAAAAGTCAGTAATACAATGCACCTTAATGCTGGATTGAGAGTAATATTAGGTACAATGCTAACATGTTTACCCATTGAATCAAAGTGGTAATAACTTTTTCACAATGTTGCCCCTTTAAACCTCTCACATCGAAGGTTATGTTGTAAATAATGTATTCAAGAAATAAACATAAGCAGCACAATAGAACGAGCATTTACCCGAAAATAAGGTTTACATCAGATGGGATACGTAGTCTAATAAAATATTAACAGACGTGTAACTAATTCAATTTAATTTAAACATGTAAATAAATGGAGCACCCACCTCTTGAAATAATCTAGCTATCTCACAGACAAGACACTGTGACGCGTCGTTGTTGAAGTGACAAACATGCTTCTCAGAGAGGAAGAAATCCCTGAGTAGGGGCGTGTGTGTCAGCGCCTGGACGATGCAGCTCATGAAGCATGTGTTGCCCAGGTTTATGAGGCCTCTTAGACCTGCAATACATTTACTCTTACACTTTTTTATTAACTGTTAAAAGCCACGCATTTAATATTAGGAGTTTTTTACTAACTTTCAAAAGCCAAGCATTTAATATTTGGCTTTTCTTACTAAGCAATAGAAGCCAGGCATTTAATATTAGACTTATCTTACTAAGCTATGAGACAAACTCCTCTGACTCAAGCTTTTCAACCACATGGGTGAGCACATTTTTACAGAGTGCTTTTACAGGTTTAAAAAGTTCTTTTGGACAAGTTATAATAATTAGGTAAGATGGATTTGTTGAAATTGTGTTTACACTGTCATTAAAGATTTTTTTGAATCCTATACTTATAGGAAATAGGTTAGGAAAAATGTATCATGACAAATTATGCCAACATCACTAAGCTAAGCATTTTATATTAAAGAATTATTTGTAACAAGTAATTAAAATTGTAAGCATCTGCAATATAAATGGAAAAAATATAACTCAGTAGGTCCTCACTGCAGTGGGTGAAAGAGCACGCATTTTCTAGTCAACAAAAACGTGAAGTCATGGACAGACAGACAGACGGACATGGCAAGCACAATAGCGAATTTTTTTCATAAATGTGAAAATGCGCTAAAAACATTACATAAACAACTAAAGCTATAAATTTTCATCAGCACTCATTTAATTCAAGATTAGGAGCAACTTAGCTTGGTGTTCTCAATGATATGAACTTTGAATTCCATTCAGTTTAATACTAAAAAAGTTTGTTAAAATCAAGCAAACAATGAAAATTTCAGGTTCAGAACCCTCAATAAAATGTTAGAACAGAGAATAATTTTACTAGGTACAAACCAATAGTGGAATTATGATTGAGTTTCCGTCTCTTAGGATGGCGTTTAAGAAGAGCAAGTTCAGTAGAGCCAGGCCGCCACGGAGTGTAGTGTCTGTTGAGACCCAGTGAGCTGCGTGCCAGGTCTCGTGATGCGTCTGCTATGTCTACTATCTCTGAATCATATGTGAAGTCTCCACATGATAGACACATGACCTCACCATGCTCTGTGTCTATGGCTGTAACAAATTGATTCCATTAGCACATTAGAATTCAATCAAGCATCCAACACCAACAGGTTCATATTCTCCAAAGTGTAAAAGCAAAAATTTTGGCAATTGGATTAAAGCAATTGGATAATATTTAAACAGAAAACTCCATTAAACTGGAAATCTGTGACATAATTACAGGTCAAGAGATAACAGATTAAATAAAAGTCCACAATCAGACAAGAGGCAAATGGATGATACCCAATTCTATGATCAATGCAAGATTTTTAAAATTTGACACTAAATTTTCAAAGTAATTATAGCTAAAATAACAAACTATAGGTACAAGAAGTAGGTTAGCAATGCTAACATTTAATAATCAAGAAGAATTACAAAATACCAAAAGAAACTAAAGAAAAATTCCTCATCCAAATTGACTCTGTTCTCCATGACAGCTGGATGATTTTTTATCTATTGTTAAGTTAATTCAAATTTTCAATTTTTAATAATCAATACTTACATAGATGGTGACCTTTGAGCTGATAATGCTGATGGATGTGGCGGTGAGTGAAGCAGGCAAAATGAACGCAGTGAACACAGGCATGAATGCGTGGACCTATGGATCCACAACATGTGCAGCTGCACCATTTTACCTGGAATACCAAGATCACAATTCAAATCCAAATCCAAGATCACAATTTTATAGATTACAATTTCAAATCCGAATCAATTACAATTAAACTCTATATCAATTTAAATCCTGCATAACAGGAGGATATCAAAGCTAGAAAATCATGGCATAATTTTGTTACATCAGCAACAGTCCCTTATTACTCTGTAGTAGTCTCCTCATCCAAGGATCAATTATCAGGAAACAAAGGAAAATACCATAACTTATTTCAAATAATTAATAGGAGGATCTAGCAACTCCTCAATAAAATTAGTATCATATGATCAAAAAACTATTTGATATGTAATATTACCACAAAATTCTGCAAAGAGATTTTAGTTCTGACTGTTCTGGCTTAATTTTGCCTGTAAAAAGATGATTTCTGTTAAAAATATTTAACACATGTACTGTGGTGTCATGATTTATTGTTGGCTGAAGCAAGTATTATAAAATTTGTACTTAGGTCACAAGGCACCGCTGCAGCATTCAAGGTTGACTTCATCATCTTCATCATTACTGGTGGATGTAATAATCAGGGTAATTCAGCTTGCTTTATTGCCAGTTTATTTTAAAATTTGCTATTAGAATACATACTGTATTTAGAGTGCACTAAGAAGCACTAGATGAAATTGAAAGGTATATTTACTCCGTAAGTGAAGATACAATAACCAATAAAATGGAATTCTAGGCCCTAGGGGCATGCCCAGCAGCCCAGGTAATTAGTACACTTAACATGTAAAAAAAAATATTTATTCAGAAGCATTTTCTGAATCTTTTTCTTCAATAGTTTAAATTAAAATGACAATTTGAAGAGTAAAATAGAAGAGTTTAGCTGTGGAACAGTTGACCGAGTTGAGCATTATTAAAATTATGCAAATTGGTATAATTAATTTAGCAGAGGGACTTTGGATTTAATGGACCTATCATGCAGATCTTCAAAAATTATAGAACAAGATGATGAAAAACCTAAAGGAATGGTTCAATACTCAGTTACTTCCAAGTTCCATCAGTTAGGGATCTCATTTCCATTATTCCATAGCTAACAATCCAAAACAATAGGCTTAGGTATTTGTACCTAATGGCTAAAGACGAAAAAAATTAGCACGAACCATAGAAAACAAATTCAGTATAGTACTAATAAAAATATATATGCATGTATACATGACGTTGAATATAACTCTACGGGTTAAAATTGCGCATGCGAATTCTGCATCGTCTCACAAAATGCGAAAAACGCGTTACTGAATGAGTAACGCCTCACTAACGCGTAGGTAGGTACCTAGTTGATCATCTACGATTCTTTAGACAACTTCGATCGCCAAAATTATAAAATTATTCTTCTACTTAGCGTTTTAATAAAGCAGAACTTCTACGAAAAAAGAAAACACCGCATTATGAAGCAAAGAAAAGAAGAAAATAATGCTGAAGGACAAAGCCGTAAACAGGAAATCATAACCAGGAGACAGGCAGACAGCTGACCGGTCATGGACCGCATGATTCAAAGACAAAACTTATACAAGTGATTTACTACAAATCTCAGTACAGAAGTACACCTTAATAAGTATTTTAGGCGATAAATTTAAATTGCTTGTACTAAGAAACATATATATATGCATTGAACAAGCCGGCACGTGTGAACAATAATCAGTGAGAATGGAAGAGACTCGATCAGCTGATACAACAAGCGACTCACCTTCTGTTCTCGAGTAGGCTTCGTACTACAAAAGACAAAAAAGCTGTAAATTAAGCGAAACGACCCAGTTCCATTAACGGACTTGAATTTCAAAAGATGCTCACATCCTTCAGTACTCATTGCAGAAGCAGTGGTACAAAAAGAACCAACAGTTATACAAAATAAGTGAAGCTAGGTGGGGCTGTGAGGTGAACACGCTCCCCACGCCGCACTATTGATGCCATCTAGTGGCGTCTCTAAGAGTTCTTCAATCAATATTATTAATACGTTTGTTCAAAGTTTGTAGCAAAGTTTTTTCTAAGATAAAAAGTTCAAAGCGATGAAAATTAAAAAGAGTGAATATTATTGAGTCTATTCTTCAATAATGTGTGTAATATGAATCATTGATAATGTTAGGAAACAGCTATGAACGAAAGTTTCTGAAACGTCCGAAAAACATATTCCTATCAGAGAAAAAAAAAACAATTTTATTTAGAGCAGGTATGAATCATTGGCTGCAATGGTGAAATTGTTTAATAAAGCGTTTGGGCATCCCACAATTTTGAGTATGAAAATATAAGTGTGAACTATAACTGCAAAATTAATCAATCGTTCACGTTTTGCACCTATCAAAATTAGCTGCGCCAGAGATGTTTTTGAGCGAAATCAATAGAAGCACGATATCGGTCAAGTAAACGGATAACTTTGACCCGATAGCTCATCTGTGATAACATATATATTACTGCTTCCTTATGTACATCGTACATACGATTCAATACTTTCGCCATGAACTTGTAAGTTGCCGTTAAATTAACAGATACCCTGCACTATTTTATGTATATTCTTGGTCACATCCAAATAAACGTGCACGCGAATTATTCAACTTGTGATGGTACGAGTTTCCAGACTTGTCTAACGTACGGTGGCTAAATATAAAGAAATAAATTTTCTTATACTTCGCACATATACGAAGTAATTGTTTTGCTGTATGCAATTTTTTTTAATTAGAGGTGTGAGATGCGAATTGCGTTCGGATCGCTCGTCGAGAAATAATGTTATCCTATAGAGTATAGACCTACATAATGAAATCAGCAAAGGCTTGTGATGAACGTAGCGAAATGTGTAAATGAATAATAATACAAGAAGTAAAATTCTAATTCTTCATTTATATTAGATCATCAGGATAAACATTTTATTGTAGGATTTCTTCTGATGATAAATAAATTTTTGAAACTTAATCCACACGAACTAGGCTTTTTCTAAAGTATTTCAGGGTTTAAAAACCCATGTAAAATTAACACGCTCATGTCTTTAGTCAAAAAATAATAAATAATATTTCAATTTCATATATAAGCATTAATTAAGCGTGTAACTCATCATCTCTATAGCTTCTTAAACTATCATTGGATTGGTAAAAGGAACCGATTTGCGATGAATAAGCTGAGATTAAAATTTCAAAATCAAGTTTCATTATCACCGAAGTGCCTAAAAACAGTATTTTACCACGGGAATTACGGCACTGTATAAAAATGATCATGATTCCAGGCATACATTGGTCAATTGCTGGACAGTTCTGAGTCCGAATGTTCCCCGAACTCTCCGTTGTTTACTAAAGACAGCGAGTTTGAAACATCAACCTCCATGATCTCATTTTTCATGGGAACATTCTTCACATTTTCTCCTTCAAAGACAAGGTCGACTTCGCACGTGATCTGAGAACCCTTGGTGCAGACGCAACTTATTTCCTCGGCACAGTTGCAGACAATGTTCGAGTGAATAGAAGAACTACATGTGGATTTCTTGTCTCCGGAAATATCAGAATCAACAGAGTAACCAGATATTTGGGACGTACACAAACATGGCGCCACATCTCCATTTTCCTCGATCATGCACTCGGAGCAGCAAGAGAGGGACGACAACGGGACTTTGTGGCACAAAACATGGCTATGCCGTCGGCTTACGGATCCATCCAAGGACTGGCTTGTCGAGTACAGCTTCACGTGAATCACTGGCGACTTTTTGTCGTGGCTTAACTCGGCTGAAATTTTCGAGCAGCAACTGAGGCAGCTGTTGCTCGAACTCTGCGTCTTGTTTGAACTATCACGAGTGGACGAATTGGTGCTTGAATAATGAGATGTAGAATTAGAGACTTTAGACATGACATTGCTGTCTGGCGTGCCAGAGAAACACAGAGATCCGTCTGGCTCTGCTATAAGAGGAGGTCCCAGATCTTTTTCGATTATTCTATCGTGTTTGGGAGGTACTGGCACATCCTGACATTTAACCGAGTCTCCGTGGCTGGAAAATATCCCTGAATCGACATCAGACTTGCGGATATCATCGGAGGAACTTGAGGTCCCGCTGGTGCTGGGTGGCAAGTCCTTCCCCTGGCGGCGGGTGGAGGCTTCCACGCAGGAATCGGACGAGGCGCGGCCCCGAGGTATGGGTAATCTCTTCAGGATCGCCTCCCGCAGGCTGTTGGGAATACGGCCGGCACCCTGCACGGGAAGGATTTGTGATACCTTTTTTGGAACCGAGAAGGGACGAAGGGAAATCTCAGAATAAAAGTAATCATAGGACAAATAGCTATCTCAGGATAAATGACAGTCATAGGATGAATGATAATCTGAGGATAAAGGAAAACTACGAATAAAAACCACCAAAGGATAAATACAATACCACAATAAATAACACTCATTGGATAAATGGCAGTATAAGGACAAAGGCAAACTTTTGATAAATGTTAATTTTAGGATAAATGACAATTTTAGAAGGAAAAACAGCCTATTAATTATCGACAGTCTCTTAAACGACAGTCTCGTGTATCATGCTCATGTTTCGTTACGGCAAATGCCGATCAAGGTCTTAATTTTTTTAATCATATCGACTGTTAAATATTATTCATCGGTAGTCAAAAACTATTTGGAACCGCCGGAAAATGTTTCATTATATTTAAATTAACGTACCTGAGCTGAAGAACTTGCCGAGTCCGAGACTTCAGATGCTTTTGATCTGCGAATTAGAATATTTAATCATTAATCTTTAATAGTAATAAAACGATTCCGGTATAAGAATAAAAGGAAACAAACTATCGTGTGTAAAATCAAGCCGTTGCTAAGTAGAGTGAGAGTGATGAGGTGAGTGAGAGTGATGAGGCGAGTGTGAGTGATGAGGTGAGTGAGAGTGATGAGGTGAGTGAGAGTGATGAGGTGAGTGAGAGTGATGAGGTGAGTGAGAGTGATGAGAAGAAACTGACTCACAATTTGCTGATCTTTCCCGGAACGCTTTCTCGCTGCTGTGATTGCATGCACTGTGTATGCAATCCTTTCAGCAAGAGTGACTAAATATTCCATCAAGATACACAATAAACACTAGCTTAAATATCAATAATAATATTACTATCAATGTCACTTATATCATTTTTCTGCGACAGTTGCTATATGTTCTATCAAGAGAAAAACTAACATTCATATAATCTACTAAAATTAACAACGTGTGTATTAACATTAACATATATAATACAACATAAGCAGAATTATTATTTATCAATATAAATATTGTTCATTAATACATAAATTCTCGATGTTATTTACTGACTTCGTAGAAGTGCTGTCAGCGGCCACAGACGCCGGGGAGCTCGTGTTGATAAGCTCTTCGTGTTGCTGGAATAGAAGATTTTAACTTATTTTTGCTGCAGACTTTTTATTATGAAATCGTAAATAGAATTTAAAGCTGCTGAATGGGCCCATGCAACAAGTTATAAATTTAAATGAAGATTTATATTTCAGATAACACTATGCCAGAAGTTTAAGATTTATCGATTTAAAAAAGAAGTTTGCCGGCATTGATTTTTTTTCATTGTTGTATTTTTCATTGTGGTCAGTAAATATTCACCACATAAGAATAAATTAGATACTAGTGCACAAATGACTACGAAGTCATGACTCCAAGTTTTAGAAGAAGGTGAATATTTTAGACCAGAGGTCATCAGAGCGTGGGAGATTCTTTTGCCAGAGATGCCATTGGTGGAAGGTTAGTACGTCAGGGAAACTCAGCATATATTAGAAGCGCCTTAGGGAGATGGTAGTCAATAATTACTGGAGAAACACCTTCGAGGTGGAGGTGGCCAGTGATTATTACTATAGAATCACGTCCTTCAGTTAGGAGGTGGTCGGTAATTAACGTAGAAATATCCTTCAGTTAGAGGTGGTCAGTAATTAACATAGCAGTATATTTCAGTTAGGAGGTGGTCAGTACCAATTAACATAGTAGTGCCCTTCAGTTAGGAGGTGGTCAGTAATTAACGTAGAAGTGCCCTTCAGTTAGGAGGTGGTCAGTAATTAACGTAGAAGTGCCCTTCAGTTAGGAGGTGGTCAGTAATTAACGTAGAAGTGCCCTTCAGTTAGGAGGTGGCCAGTAATGAAAGCCATATGGGAGTCTACACCCTCACCCTGAGGTAGGCGGTGACGAAGGGTCTGAGGCGCGGTACCTGTCTCTTATACACATCTAGATGTGTATAAGAGACAGGATGCACCGATNCACTGCGTCATGTGTCCCCACGAGTTGGGTACTCACTGCGCCATGTGTCCCCACGAGTTGGGTACTCACTGCACCATGTGTCCCCACGAGTTGGGTACTCACTGCGTCATGTGTCCCCACGAGTTGGGTACTCACTGCGCCATGTGTCCCCACGAGTTGGGTACTCACTGCACCATGTGTCCCCACAGGTTAGGTACTCACTGCGGCAGTTGTCGGTATGCCCCCCTGAGGATGCGCAGCACCAGGTCCGGGAAGGTGTCGGCGATGAAGGGGTGGTTGAGGCTGCACAGCTCGTACAGCACGCAACCGATCGCCCACATGTCGCTCTTGTGGTTGTACGGCAAACTGGATAAAAATTTACCAAAAGTTCCTCTAACTCATTAAGAACTATTTGCATGTAAAATTTCGGGGCTTGAATAAAGAATATTTGTTATGTAACCGAGAGTTTGGGAGAACATTCTGACTTGCCAAGTAAAGCCTCGCTATCCAAAAACAAGTCTACACGCACAATGGCACTTCTTTGCTTTCTGTAGCATAAATGTTGGAAGGTTAACTCATATGTGACAATTCAGCATTCTTATTTCAGTGTTCTTTTATTTTACCATTCAGGGACTTATTAATAAACTACCGTACAGTTCAAATAATTCAAACTTGTTATTATATTAAAAGACTTGTAAACTTTTAACATAACTTGTTGTGGATTTGACTACATCTCGCACACCGTAACTGATCTGCAGATTGCTTAATCTATACGAACTATTTTAATCACATCTCTCACATTACCTTTTTCACGACAATTTTTTAATCACATAACATCTTTAATCTTTGGTCGTCTATTGTTAACAAACAGCAGGAGAGCCCCACATTGCCCGAGATAGACATGCTTCAACTTCTTATAGGTTGGAAATGATACTACTGAGTTCAAGTATGGAGTATCTGACAACATGCGACAGTGGTAAGGATGTCACATGAAGCTATTTGGCGCACAACGACTTTTTAAAATATAATAGGTACATGCAAATGCCTAAATGTATGAGATAAGAGATATATGCATGCAAACGTATAGATCTTTTAGGATAAATAAGAATAAACCGGCGACAGTTCTTGGGGGAAGAGTGTGACATTTTGGGGGCGGTCGTAGGTAAACCGCTCCTATTCTCATTCAGGTTGAGAGGAATGTCACCATTCCCAGTGACATTCTCATCAATCATCATGGCAACGGTAGCCTCAATTAGTGATGCATGAAAAAACAAAGATTATTATAAAGACATGATCAGACCGGCGGCAGATCTCCGGGGAGAGGTAATATGGCGTGCCGATGGCTGTAGTTGCGAGGTCCTCTCGGCTGGTCAGCACCCGCGCGATCCCGAAGTCGCCCACCTTCACCAGGTCCGTCTTGGTCAGGAAAATGTTCTGCGTCTTCAGATCTAGGGCAAAAGATACGAGTCGTAAGAAAAAATATTTTTAAGTGGAATTAAAATACTTGAGTTAGCAAAAAAAAAAACTTTTTAATTTGAAACGAACAAAGAAATTGGTAGACAGCCGACAGTTGTTGGCAAATTAAGTTCAAGAGGGATGGATACAAAAAGAAATTTCTGATCTGGCGCCGTAAACGAAGACTTGAATAATAAAGTTCCATCCTCAACCTTGTTGGAGGTTCTGTCTTCACCTCAGTTTAGGTTCTACCCTCACCTCAGTTTAGGTTCTACCCTCACCTCAGTTTAGGGTCTACCCTCACCTCAGTTTAGGTTCTACCCTCAAGTGCAGGATGTCGTTGGAGTGCAGGTACTGCACGGCGAAGATGATCTGCACGAACCACTTGAGCACAGTCGACTCAGGCAGCAGCTCGCCGGCGTCCCTCGCCTGCTTCACTCTCAGCGAGAGGTCGCCTGTCGTAACATTCATATAACCAAAAATTACTTGGTGATTTCCGAGACCAATTATAACAAATTATACAACGCTTCAGTTTTAATCTACATTGTTAATCCGAATGAAATGTATGGTTTTGATCGTTCAGCTCATAAAACAAAAAATTGCCTGAACGGCTTTCTTCGACCTATATTCCAAAATTATAAAAATTTTCTTTATTAATCTACATTGCTTATCCGAGTGGATTTTAAGGTTTTAATACATCAAGTGCCGTTCCGTTCATAAATCAAACAGTACTTTAAAATACTCGTAGAAAAATTCTACGAGGTGGTCTAAATTTTCGTTATTAATTTGTGTTGAAAAGCCTTAATGGAATGGAACAGCAAGAGCGATTTAATAAGTTGAACCAGCGGAAAAAATTACCTATGGGGTAGTTCATGGAATCAAATATAGAACTCCACTTTACACGAGAATGAAATTGAAGTTTTTTTTGTACGGTATTTTGTTTTATTTGTCGAAACGCTGGACACAATCGCTTTATCCAGAAGACAGGACGATGGTCAAAGGCTTAAATGAATTAGGAAAATCAATGATGTAATTAAACTGAATGTCATGGAAATGTCATGTTCAATACTAAATTGAACGTAATCATGTATGTAATATCTATAGGAAATCCCAGAGAATTTTAAAGTAATGCCTAAAGCTTACAAATAATATGATATGCAATTCATGTTATTTTAGGAGTAATTTTATTCGTGATAACCCGAATCGAGAAATCTTGTACGGATCAAACTGGACAGTCTGCTTCGTGAGCGAATATAATTGCGGGATTGTAATAACGAATAAATAATAAATAGTGTACAATTCATCACTGTTACCATCCCTTGGTAGCTCCATCAAAGTGATCATGAGTAGAAATAATCAATTAAGATAATATTTGGTTACTTTTAAACTGCTTAACATATGTCCTTGGCAAAGAAGCGAAAAGAGGCGAAGAGAACAACAGCGAAAAGCGAAAGAAACTATAGCGAAAAAGTATGTATCAACTATCCATTATAAATGCGTCATTCCCTAGAGTAATTTATGCAAGGTAATGATCATTTAAATTATTTATAAATTATAATGATGAATATATACTGACCGCCATCAGCGTATTCCATGACCAGGCAAAGAGTGGATGGGCTGGAAACCATGAACACCTCCTTGTACCTGCAACACAACAGCAGTTTTTTCATAAAAAACTTCCTTCAAGTTTCAATTTCTGCGAGAAGGATATCTTTCTGTGGCGGGACCGAGGCTATTAAACGCCTTACCGACGGAACGGAGAGAATGGGGGGAGGGGTTATTCCAGGAGATCTTCAGGAAATAAATGGACATATTCTTTGGCCCAATCTTTGATCGGCCGCCTCTGTTCCATCAACATCGGCACGAAGCAAGCAACATCATCATGCATCAGCTTGCCAAATGATGAAACGCTCAATAAGATTACAAAAAAATACAAGCAGCAAGGAAAGCAACAGCGACGGCACTTCTCACCACACGAGGCGCCCCTCAGCGCCCCTCACTACACGAGGCGCCCCTCACCAACCCTCACCACACGAGATACCCCTCACTGCCCCTCACTACACGAGGTGCCCCTCACTGCCCCTCACCACACGAGATGCCCCTCACTGCCCCTCACCACACGAGGCGCCCCTCATTGCCCCTCACCACACGAGATGCCCCTCACTGCCCCTCACCACACGAGGCGCCCCTCACTGCCCNGCCCCTCACCGCACGAAGCACCCCTCACTGCCCCTCACCGCACGAAGCACGCCTCACTGCCCCTCATCGCCACTCACCACACGAGGCGCCCCTCACTGCCCCTCACCGCACGATGTTGTTGTGTTTGCAGCGGGACAGGATGAGGGCCTCAGTGTTGGCCTTCTGCACCTCAGCCTTGGTCATGTCCTCAACCCGCACCTCCTTCACCACGTACCTGGTCATAACAAAATAAATTAACTTTTAATTAATTAATTAATTAATTAATTAACTTTTAATTTATTAATTAATCTTTTAATCTTAAATCAGAAAGTTCACGTTATCAACAAAGTCCTCATTTAACAGGATCACTAACACTATCAGTCTTTCACATGAAAAGCGCATTTAAATTTTCTAATTCATACACAATTGTTTATTATAAAAAATGAATAGAAAAATAAAAATTTTAAGCAAAAGGACAAGCAGGATTTTAAGGATGAAAGATGCAGCAGCTATGAGTGACAATAAATTTACGCGTGCACAGCGAACTTTTCGTTTGAATTAAAGGCGATCATTTAAGTTGAAATGAGAACTTCAAATAAAATTTTGCCAGCTGAACTTTGTTGAGAAACGATAGGGTGAGTAACTTAGTATGTCAGGCGGCTAATAAAATTTTTTTTTCATTAAGCTGGGGGTGCTGCAGACCACAGTGTGGTGCAGACCACAGCACCACACGATCCATTAAACGTTGCAGCATTGAATTAACGCTGAATAACCGTTATTCCCCGGTCATTTGCCTGGTGGGTTAGGGTGACTCACTTGCGTCCCGAGCAAGTGCTGGACACGAGCCAAGCCTCGCCGAACGTCCCCTTCCCGATGCGGGACAACTTCTGGTAGCGCTCCACCATCGTGGGGGGGAGGGCGTCCCTGGGGGGGCGGGGGTGCAAACATGTTGGTTATGAGGGCGGGTTAGTGGAGGAG